GCAGATTTTAAAATTGGAGCATCATACACTTGCCGACTTTGTAAATGGTTACAGAGAAAAACTGGGCATCATCGACTGAGGATCACACACTACTTGACTTTCAGGTCGTTCTGACCACAATAAACTCATGCAGAAATGTGTGTCTCGAATTGCTAGGAAATGCATGACAAACTAAAACAATCAGATAAAATGTTCTAAAATTGGCTTCAAGTATGAAACATTTGAAAAAAAATTAGAGTCTATACCCCTCATAGCCTACACTACGCAATTTTCTGTGAAGTCTGTCAACGCTGACTGCTTAGAATCTGCAGACTGGCTTTGATTTTCAACCGCTAGTGTTGAGTTGTCCAGACTGCAAATCGGGGGAAAAATCTGTGCACAAGTTATGTAGTGAATTGCAGCCTTAAGATGTAATATCCTGATCAAGCTCATGGTGTTTTCAACAGGAAGCTGGGTCAGGCTGTACAGGGTGTCACTTGTGAAATGATTGAAAAAATCAATCGAACTGATGCTTTGGAAATGGCAAAGACACTTAACAATTCCTGCGCATGGCTCTCCAGGGTTCAAGTAAACATCACATATTCATCATGTTTTCACACACCGTCTTTCATCAGCTCTGCCAATTTTCCATGATTAAATATAGAAAAAAACAAACATTTTTTTTCCCCATCCCGATCTCCTTTTCATTCTTAGATTCGCTGTACTGCTCAAAAACTCTTTGCAAGTCTGGAGGAACAGAGACCAGGATATTTCAGTGACATTAAAAACTCTGAGCTCCAGGCCATCCCAGCTGTGCTGCTCATCCATCTACCGTAAGAACAGAACAGTGCTGTATATGCATAGAAGTTAAATGCGTTCAAATTGAATTTAACTTCAGTTTAAATCATATGCTAAGACAGACGAGTTTTAATTTTTTTACTTGTCCCCTCTCACACTATCCATGCTGTCATGACACATTCAGAGTGGAGAAGATTCAAAACCTGTCCGATGCTGTGTGTCCTGCTTTCATGGAGAAGATGAATCAAGTCAACTTGTCCTCTCTGCCAAACAGCTCTCCAGCACGAAGTGCACTTACCAAAAGAGCCATCAGCTGCCTGGTAATATGTGCACACATATACACAGGCTTTTCTTCTCCTGTCCAAAATAACCCAATCACATCTAAAGTTAGCGTGTTGCTGGTTGCAAGCCATTTCAGTTCTGTAATGTGCTGTAATGTGATGCATTTCTGAGTAAAATTGCCAAAGCACTGACAGAGCCCACTGATCTAATGGCGTTGTTGAGAGCTCCAAATGCAAACTTTGCATGCAACAATCAGGCAGCAATTGACAGCACTCTGATCTAGTGGCATACAGGCATTGTCAGATTGACAGTACTCTAGCCCAATAATGTTGGGGGATCCAGTGGGGGCGGCAGTCATATTTCACTCTGTCTCTGTCCACGCTGGAGAAGGCAGACCTCAGCTCTGTGGATCAGCTGCAGGGACACGGCTGGACTCGTGCTCAAGTATATACACTTGATAGTAATATAAAAATCCAAATCCATTACCTCTACATTCATGTTTCTCTAATGTCCTTATTTCTCTCTGTAGTCAGTTTTCCTTCTGAAGAAGATTTTGGGTAGTAATATCAGCCTTGGTGAATTACGGTGAGACTCTACAGTATATGATTGCAACATAATACAGCTATGGTTTGTGTACTTTATGTAGACCTAGAAGGATTTTTTTAAATAAGATAGACAAGATCTTTAAAAAAAAAAAAAGAAAACTAAATGAAAATGAAACTGCTACTAAATTAAAACTAATCTAATTTTTTAATGATAAATATTTTATATAAACTTGTGAGCAGAATTGCATCTTAATAAAAATAAATGTCTGCATAAAGGCTGGAATAAAATACATGACTTTTAACATTGGAGTAGATTGCAAAATTGGGGCAGATTTTAAAATTGGAGCATCATACACTTGCCGACTTTGTAAATGGTTACAGAGAAAAACTGGGCATCATCGACTGAGGATCACACACTACTTGACTTTCAGGTCGTTCTGACCACAATAAACTCATGCAGAAATGTGTGTCTCGAATTGCTAGGAAATGCATGACAAACTAAAACAATCAGATAAAATGTTCTAAAATTGGCTTCAAGTATGAAACATTTGAAAAAAAATTAGAGTCTATACCCCTCATAGCCTACACTACGCAATTTTCTGTGAAGTCTGTCAACGCTGACTGCTTAGAATCTGCAGACTGGCTTTGATTTTCAACCGCTAGTGTTGAGTTGTCCAGACTGCAAATCGGGGGAAAAATCTGTGCACAAGTTATGTAGTGAATTGCAGCCTTAAGATGTAATATCCTGATCAAGCTCATGGTGTTTTCAACAGGAAGCTGGGTCAGGCTGTACAGGGTGTCACTTGTGAAATGATTGAAAAAATCAATCGAACTGATGCTTTGGAAATGGCAAAGACACTTAACAATTCCTGCGCATGGCTCTCCAGGGTTCAAGTAAACATCACATATTCATCATGTTTTCACACACCGTCTTTCATCAGCTCTGCCAATTTTCCATGATTAAATATAGAAAAAAAAAAAAACATTTTTTTTCCCCATCCCGATCTCCTTTTCATTCTTAGATTCGCTGTACTGCTCAAAAACTCTTTGCAAGTCTGGAGGAACAGAGACCAGGATATTTCAGTGACATTAAAAACTCTGAGCTCCAGGCCATCCCAGCTGTGCTGCTCATCCATCTACCGTAAGAACAGAACAGTGCTGTATATGCATAGAAGTTAAATGCGTTCAAATTGAATTTAACTTCAGTTTAAATCATATGCTAAGACAGACGAGTTTTAATTTTTTTACTTGTCCCCTCTCACACTATCCATGCTGTCATGACACATTCAGAGTGGAGAAGATTCAAAACCTGTCCGATGCTGTGTGTCCTGCTTTCATGGAGAAGATGAATCAAGTCAACTTGTCCTCTCTGCCAAACAGCTCTCCAGCACGAAGTGCACTTACCAAAAGAGCCATCAGCTGCCTGGTAATATGTGCACACATATACACAGGCTTTTCTTCTCCTGTCCAAAATAACCCAATCACATCTAAAGTTAGCGTGTTGCTGGTTGCAAGCCATTTCAGTTCTGTAATGTGATGCATTTCTGAGTAAAATTGCCAAAGCACTGACAGAGCCCACTGATCTAATGGCGTTGTTGAGAGCTCCAAATGCAAACTTTGCATGCAACAATCAGGCAGCAATTGACAGCACTCTGATCTAGTGGCATACAGGCATTGTCAGATTGACAGTACTCTAGCCCAATAATGTTGGGGGATCCAGTGGGGGCGGCAGTCATATTTCA